GTTCATTTGCTTCAGATTTTATACTTCATGTATCAAAAATGGTGAATGAAAATTAATATAATAATTATTATTATTGAAACTGAAGTTTCGTCCGGCTTCTACAGGCAAAATTTTTCTTATCGGCTATTTAACGAAAAGAATTGTACTAAATAAAGTACCTGTGGCACTTTAAGTTTCAATTTCACTACCAATTATGCTACTAGGTTATTTTCATCATGTCTATCATTTTGTTGGGAAGACTTCTCAAGTAACATATTTGAATTTTGTTTGCATCATTATTTTCGAACTCTTTCTTCTTCACTTCCATACATGAGGAAAGGGTAGAAGACGTTAATTTCGCACTACGAAAGTGTTTTAAGTAGTCCGTCAAGGTACAAGATATTTTCTTCCGACTTCTGTGTCTATAAAGGCCTTTGAAAACTTAGTAGATCACTTGTAGCTTTATATACTCTCCACCATTCTTTATATATTCGTTCTGTTGAATGTGGAAAATGTATTCGATGTAGTTTTCATCAACATCATATTATCATTTGAAATCTCATACTCAATACTGCTTAGTCCTCCAAACCTAACGATAATGTAAATTTTCATGAGTCACATTTGTTTATCTTTAATAAAAATTTTATGGTGAGATTGATGAGCGATTCAGTTCTTCACTCACATTAGGTAGAGAGCTGGCAATAAAAATCGATGTTAATATCAAAGATCGAAAACCTTCTGTCGATGTAAGGGTTCATATAGAAATATAGATGGAAAGTAGGAAACAGTTGTTCCTTATGTATCGTATATAAGCCACACGACTATGAACAGAGCTGATACACATTTTCTCGATTCGATTTTATGGATGGATTATCAAATTGAAGGTGTACTGGAATATATAACATACAGAATATACATTACTAGCAACCCGCTTCGGCTCCGCACGGGTGCAATGCTGATGTTGAATATAAATTCACCCACTGGAAATTTAAAGGCATGGAGAAACAGTGATGAATTGATAATTTTGTTTAATGGACGTTGGAATATTTGAAAATCCTTTTTCATTGCATATAACGAACCCACACATACATAATTTCAGTCTCCGAAAATACACCGATTTGGAGAAACAATGATGAAAAGGTAACTTTACTTTATGAACGCGCTTTTTTCCCCGCGGCTGGCGCTCTAGTTGGAATATTTGAAAATCCTTCCTTATTGCACATCTATAACATAAAACGATCCTACATACACAAGTTCAGCCTCCGAAAATATAGCGGTACGGAGAAATATTGATGAAAATAATTTTCATATGTAAACGCTCCCGTTCTATTCCCAGGAGGGGATCACCAGTTGGAATATTTGAAAATCATTCATTACTGCACATTAACAACATAAAACGAACCAACATACAAAATTTCAGCCTCCGAAAATATAGAGATATGGAGAAACAGTGATGAGAAAGGGGGCGCAACCTTTACACCCAGAGGGGAGCCCCATTTGAAATATTTGAAAATCCTTCCTTAGTGCTCATCTAAGATCTAAGAAGCACCTATATACCAAATTTCAGCTTCCTAGGACTTACCAGTACGGAGAAACAGGGATGAATGTCTGTTAAGTGAGTGACTTCCGCATTTGGGTTGGGTAGGGAGATCACTTTTAGTACCACTTGGTATACATTTATAGGCTGGTATATCAAATGCAATACGATCTGCCAGCCTTGCAAGATCTGCATCACATTTTTAGTCTGGATAACAAGATCATTTTTTTGAAACTTCTATCCAAGGGCACCAAAAATTATGGCCCAGGGTGATTCGAAATGATCTCTAGCAACTTTTTGAAAAATTTCAAGACGACCGTAACCGATTTTCTTGAAAATTTGCCTTTAAAGGAATATAGGAATTCGTGGTTTCAACTGGACGGAGCGCCAGCTTATTCCACCCAGGAAGTTTCCAGGAAACTTGACGAACTCTTCGACGATCGTTGTTTTAGGCTTTTAGGGTCGTGGGATTGGCCACCGAGATCTCCCGATCTCACGCTGTATATCAACTTTAATACTTTCGTGGAGGTGAATTTTGGAATAGGTAAGTAAAGCATATGGTTCTGTCTGGTTTTGTGACAATTTGTTCCGGGAGTGTACATGCTAGTTTTATTTTTATGAATTAAGCATACTGTTTCCATTATGTATGAAGAGGCAACAGTTAATATTTGTGGCTAGTGAATGAAGGCTTGCAGTGATCTCTCGGCTTAGACTTTGCAAGGTATCTCAAAGACCTATTCTATAAATTGCAATGGCCCCAGAAAGCTATTCCATAACGAATATGAGATTCGACCAATACAAAGTAAGCCATTCTAGCTGTAGTGTACCCTAGTTCATTTGATATCACTCTAATAGCATAACATCCACTAGATACTTTTTTACTCAAATGGGATACATGATCTTCAAAATTTAATTTATTGTCTATGTGAATGCCTAGGAATTTAGTGGGCTGTTTGTTTTATATGTAGTGGTTATAAAAATCTAAATCGTCTAGTGCATATTTGAAAGGAACTAGTTTTGTTTTGTTCAGGTTGAAGCACATGCAGTTCGCGTTATACCAGGCTCGATTTTTTTGAATATCTATTTTTATCATATTTGATAGCTGATTAATTTCTTTATTACTCCATATAATAGTGGTATCGTCGGCAAATACAGTAAATTGTCTTCCGATGTTAATGGTCATTAGGTCATTTAAGTATATTGAAAACAACATTGGTCCTAAAACAGACCCCTGAGGTACTCTATGTTTTATGTTACTGAGATCAGACTGTCCACTTGATGTTTTCACCACCTGTCGACGTCCTGTCAAATATGAACCAAACATTTTATTGAAGAAATCATTTTTTACGTTAGCTTACGAACTTTTCAACCTGAATATCATATAAATGAAAACGCAATGACGTCGAAGAATTACAGGAATAATTAACCATACGATGTAAAAGATAAAAAAAAATAATCGCTCAGCATTTAGAAATCTTGAAAACATTATTCAATGCTGCAGAATATGCATTACAACTGGAAGGAGACATTTGGAGAGCAGATTTAAAATTGAGATACTAATATTATTGACTCAAAATACAGGGTGTTCCTTGAACACATGCTAATATTTAAGGAGGTAATTCTTAGACCCATTTTAAGAAAAAAACTTCCTATGGACGTATGTCCTAAACGCCTTAACTTTTGAGATACAGGGTGGCAAAGTTTTCAAAAATAATCAGTTTTTTAATAATAACTGAGATAATTTTGTAGACATCTTTGGCATATTTGGTACATATGTTCCATGCCTCAAGGCGCATTTTCTGATGTACACAAATTTGTATTTTTTCAAACAGTGGCATCCCTACGGGTTTCGCATTGAATATTTTTGGG